TTAATTCAAAGAAAAATCATTCTTAAATAATTCTTCATAAGAGAGAATGAATCTTAGCAAAGTAATTACTGTTTTTTTTTTCCTTGAATGTCAACAATTAAAGTTGATTACCTGAAACTGTTGGCATTTATATTGAAATTGATCATAAAGAAACAGGTGAACCTATTTCTCCAGGCTTATCTAATTGCATAAAATATGGGATGATTTGGTCAAGTCTTACAAAGATATGTTTTTTCTACTTGCATTAACACTTACGAAGAGCAGCATGTGTTAAGAGCAAAAGACTGATACCGTGCATATTCTAGGCGCCCATGCTCATCTATGGGAGGTGGAGTTATAAGTACAACTAGCACGGTAGGGGAACTATTCTGCATTCATAATTTACAAAAAATTAGAATTGATACAAGGTGCTTGGAACAATGCAAACATAGGACTTGGAAGTATATAGAGCCCCCGTTTGGGCCACCTTTTTATCTTATTAAAATGAAAAATATGACCGTTATCCATCACATCAACATTTAAATTCAAATTTTTATCTCTTGTGTGGGCTCAATAACGACTATATTTTTCATTTTCATTCTACAAAAAGGTGGCTCAAACAGGCCAGAATCAAGAATATGACCTTATATGCACACTTTAAAGACAGGTAAAATGAAAAGGGGAGAAGAATAAGATCCATTAAATCATATACGTCTAAAAATCAGAAAAAAGGAAGATCTACTGCAAAATAAAAATGCACAAGTTATACAACTATATATCCAACATATCGGCACAATGGATAACTCAACTTAAGATCATAAAGTTAACAAATTTTGGTATAGCAAGCCACTGTACTAATATTATTTATCATAAAAGTGAACTGCAATTATTTGGAAAAAGAAAAAAGAAAGTGTTTGATGACCATCAAGAATGTTTTATGCTTATTAAAATAACAGTACACTATATAATAGGAAATCCAATTATGCGATAAGGTTTTGTTTCAACTTTGGACCAAGTAACACGTGAATGTTGAGCACAAAATTTACAAATTCCAACCTTTAAGTGTTGAACAATTCTTCTTAGATTTTCCTTGTACTCTTCAACAGGCACATGTTGCCTTTCACCAGTTCCCCCCAAAAGAGCCGCATCATTAGCCCCAAAAAATATAGTGGCAGCGACAAGAGGCATTGCAGATCCCTGCCAATCAGTCATAAAAGATCCAACATTGTGTTTTAATACGTCAAACAAAGTATTTAGAAAAAAAAACTGAACCAACATTAGACTGGAGTCGAGCAAAATTAAGAACAAAAAATAAACTCTCTAAAAGGTTTAACATCGATAAAAACCGCTGAAGGAAATCTCCATTTTGCATTACAATGTTGGAACATCTATATTTTCAATTGAATAAAACATTTTCGTCGAAAAAATTACAATCCATAAACACCACAAATCAAATTGTACAATTGCCCACTAAATCTTATGTTCCATCTCCTCTCACGTATTAGAATCAGAAAACTTGTAAATCTAAAAACAATTAAGACTCTGATAAAAAAAAAAACAATCATTATAAACCCAATACGAAATGAAAATAATTAGAGATCTGGACAAATTACCATAGGAAAAATGTGATGCAACAAGAATAAAGCCCACCTGGTATTGTAACCACCATAACCACGTACCAAAACATCAGCCTACAACATCGAAGAGGTAAATTAAGCATATAAAGATAAATAAAAACCAACTGATTTAAAAATATATTGCAATTAAAAAAAAAAATTTAACCTTGCGAGAGTAATTATCAGCAAGAGCAGCACCCCAACCACCTGATCTGAAAGATTGCTCTGTAATTGAGTCCCCAAACAACACTATTTGAGGCCTCATTCTGTAACTTGGATTCACCATACCGTTTGAATGGATATGATTAAACACTAACGAATCTGAAATTTGGGCTAACTGCATTAGCAATGTTTGCTTATTCCGTTGATTGTGGACTGTGGAGAGAGATTCTGGCGAAGCTTAAAAATTTAGGGATTGGCCTGAAATGGTCAGTAACTTTTGCACAAATTACATTTTTGGTTCAGATCTTTCGACTATTGCGCATATAGTCCCAGAATTATTTTTTTTGGCGTAAAAGATCCATCCAAAAGGGCGGTTAGTTTTGTGCGAGCAATGCATTTGCCCTTATTTTATTTTTATTTCAAGTGGTGATTTCGGCAAATGACTTTCTTTACATAAAAATTCATAAAAGAATAAAAAAATGTTCATCTTCTTCCACGCACCCTATCCTATCGCACAGCAAAATGACCACCATTAAACTGTTGAAAATAGAACTGGACATGATTTGGTTTGGTTTGATTTGATTTGGTTGGGTTATTTTTAAAATCGAGTCAAATCAAAATTTTCTGATATTCAATAAGTGGAATCGTCGAATTCAAATTTAACTAGGAATCGAAGCGATTTGGTTCTATACCATAATTAAATTTTCTAACATTTGCAACGACACTACATTAATTCAACTAATATTTTAGGCTCAATTAATTAGTCGACAAATTTATTTAGAAAAAGTTTAAATAATTTGGTTTATTTAATATAAAAAAAATTATAAAAATTAGGAATATTCAGTACTTGGTTTAGAATCGAAGATCGAATCAAGCCCGTTGACTTTCAATTCTAATATTCATTCAGATATTTAATTTAAGATGAACCGCACGGTCGGTTAAGTCTGAAATTTTGTCCGACTAGTCGAAAAGTCATGTCGAAAAATCATGAAAGTTATTTTTCATTCCCTTGTATCTAGCTCTTCCGAACAATAAGGCCAGTTCCAACCCTACACTAAAATTTGAGGTATCAAACTAAAAATCATCCCCAACCATTACACCAAAACTTACACCAAATGAACAATATTTAATTTTTTTTCTTCATTTTTTTATTCTTAACTATTTATTTGATTGAAAACTTATTTCTTCATTTATTTTACAACTATATAAATTACTAAATAAATAATTACGTTAAATTAACGAAAATATTAAGGCCCTGTTCGGGAGTGATTAAAATCCAATTAAAATTGAAAATATGACCGTTATTGGGCCCCACCCGTCTAATAAAAGTCAACAATAACGGCTATATTTTCAATTTTAATCCGATTTTAATTCCTCCCATACAAGGCCTA